GGCGTCGGCGCCCATGGGCCGGTAGGCGCCGTCGACGAGAGGCGGCGCCGGGGGCGGCGGCGGCGGCGGAGGCGGCGTCGCCGACGCGCGCTTCTCCAGAACGGCGCAAAAAAACCCGCCCGTGTCGCCGTCGTGCGGCAGGAACCGCAGGCACCGCTCGAGCGGCGGCGCGTCCTGCTTCGGCGGGAAGCGGCTGCCGCCGTCGTCGTCGAGGCGCGCGACGCCGCCGCCGTCGTCCCTGCAAGGGGCCCACGTCGTCAGCCCCGGCCGCGCCGGCAGCGGCGACGCCGCGGCCGCGAGCTCGAGCGTGGGCTCGAGGCGCAGCACCTCCGCGACGACGGCCTCGTTCTCGACGGGGTTCAACGAGCACGTGCTGTAGACCATGCGCCCGCCGGGCCGCAGAAGCGCCGCGCAGCGCCGCGCGATCGCGACCTGCGTCCCGTGGAGCCTGTCGCCGCCGTCGCAGGCCCAGGCCTCGCGCACGCGCGGCGCCTTGCGGATCGTGCCGTCGCCGGAGCAGGGCACGTCGCAGAGCACGCCGTCGAAGCGGCCGTCCGGCCCGGGCAGGCGCGCCGCGTCTCCGGACGCGACGACGAGCCGAGCCGCGCGGACGCCGAGCCGCGCGGCGCAGTGGCACGCGAGCGCGTAGGACCGCTTCTTGGACAGGTCGTTGGCGACGACGAGGCCGCCGGGGCCGCAGCGCTCCAGGAGCTGCGCGGTCTTGTTGCCCGGCGCAGCGCACGCGTCGAGCACGGCCCAGCCCGGCGCCGCGCCGAGCAGCAGCGCGGGCACCATGGACACGGCCTCCTGCCGCGACAGGTTCCGGCTCGTCGTGCCGGAGACGAGGAAGTCGCGGAGCGCCGCGTCGCGCGCGGCGTCGCGCGCCGCCCGGAGGCCCCGGCGCGACTCGCCCGCGAACGTCCACGCGGTCGACGCGCCGCAAGCGTACCACGGCAGCCGCGTCGCGCCGAGCCGCGCGGCCTCGGCCTCGAGCCAGGCCGCGTGGCCGTCGTGCGTCGCGTCGGTGATGCGGAACGTGATGGGGAGCGGCGTTGCGAGCGTTTTGAGGAAGGCCGGCCACTCGCTGTCGGGCACGATGTGTTGCAAGGCGTAGTAGGCCTCGAAGCGCGCGGCGCCTTGTTTGTTTGGCTTGGCTTTGGGCATTTGTTTATGATTGCTGGTGGATGGCTATTTCAGCGCCTTGGCAGGCCGCTATGGACTCCCATCGCTTGTGGCAGATTTGGCAAAAAATCAACATCGAGTGCAAGCTTGGTCAACACCAAGGCGTCGAGCGCCGCGTCCTTCGCGTTCAGCACGGGAGTGTGTCCATTCCAGCAGTGCGCCGGGGTCCGTAGATGACGCGCTGGGTCGCATTGATGGTCGTCTGCGGCGCGAGCGCCTTTAGCAGCCGCCGCAGTCCATCTACATCGCTTCCCACGCCGTCGACCAGTCGGCAGGACTTACGGTCCGACGCCGCGCCAGGGGACGCGCGCGCGCGGCAACGCACAGCGCTGCGTGCCAAGGCATCTCTATCGCCCGACGCGCGCGCGCGGCGGCGCACAGCGTCGCGCGCGAAGGACTCCGACGAGGACGCGCGGCCTCCTGGCTTCGGCGAAGGCTGCCTCGAGCCGAAGGACCAGGCGGGGCTCGCGTTCCTCGCGGTGCTGAGCGGCTGGCACTTCTTCATCGGCCCCGTCGTGCGCGAGGCGGTCCTCGCGGCGCGGGCCGCCGAGGCCGCGTTGTGACGCGCGTCGTCGGACCGAGGTTCGACTTGTGAGGGCGTCCCCTATAGCACTCGCGGCGACGGTGGTTTATGGGGCGGGGTGCGTCGCGCGAGCGGCATAGGGGGAAGCGGGGGCGGCGCGAGAGGGGGGGGCATCGGGCGGCCGGCTCCGGGAGCGGCGCCCGGCGAGGGGGGACGGCGAGTCGGGGGCAAGGGGCGGGGGACCGCGGCGGCGGCCGGCGACGTCGTCGGCGCCGCAAAAAAGGCGGGGGCGCGGCTTTCCGCGAGCCGCGCCCCCTCGTCTTCGCATGACCGCCTAGCAGGCGCCGCCGAAGACGTTGGGCAGGAAGACGCGGATGAGGTCCTGCGCGACGAAGAACCCGTAACTCACGAACATCGCGTTGCCCATGGACTTGGTCATCCGCCACTTGTTGTAGTTGATCATGCCCACGACGAGGCAGATCATGCCGATCAGCACCATGATGGAGATGGCCAGGTTGCCCGCGCAGACGAGCACGGGCTCGTCGTGGTAGATCGCGTAGCACAACCACGGCACGGGGAGCCCGAAGAGGACGTCGAAGATGTTCGAGCCCACGCTCGACGACACGGCCATGTCGCCGTGGCCCTGGCGCGCGACGATGACCGAAGAAAGTAAATCCGGCACGGACGTGCCCGCGGCGAGGAACGTGAGCCCCATGACGACTGAGGGAATCCCGAGCGTGTCGCCGACGACCGTCGCCCACTCGACCATGAAGTAGGAGAAGATGCCGA